ACAAATATATAACCAATTGTGCAGAGAAGTTTTCAGATGGGGGCGAAATTAAACAAATTACGTTTAACTGAAATAGTTACTTGACGACCGGCTTAACTATTTTGGGAAATTAGATTGTTCGGGTTGGCAGCTATATATTTAGTAGCCTTCGGATATGAAATGGTAATTGCGCAAGCATTTTGTTTTGTCTTTCAACACGTTCCCTACCGGTCAAGAGTATATGTGGTTATACTATATCTATCATTGAAGAATGGTAATCTATAAAGATAAAATCAAAGATAAATTTTCTTATTTTAGCAAAAATTTCAGTTTTCAAATTTTACAATAAGATTAATTTAATAAACAATACATTATTGTCTTGACAAAATATCATATTTTTTACAAAAAATTATTGAATGATAATATGCACCTTGCTACCACTTTTAAAGGTTTAAACTTTTATAAGTAATTTTTAAAAATGATTCAATATTTTAGACTTCGAACTATTGCAGAGAAGTTTTATAGAAGAAAACTATTGGAAATTCTAAGCACTTTAGTAAATGAGTAGATTTTATGTTTTCAATAGTCGTTCTCTAACTTTCCTACTACATGTTTTTCAAATTGATATGAAAATATTTCATAAAATTACTTTCTTACTAAGTATTTTTCGAATTAATTTAAAATTGTATTAAAAAGAAATTTTCTTTACATAAATTGAAATTACTATTACATCACTACATGTATCTTTAATTATCAATATATTTTAAAGCTCGCTTTAAATTAACTAAAATAGTAAAATGATATTAAATATCACGTCTGATAGAAAGTTTCAACTTTCAAAAATGTTTCATTAATTTAAAGTTTGAACAATAACAGAGAAGCTTTAATGAAAAAAAGTGATTGAGAATTCCATGCACTTTAGTAAATGAATAGATTCTACGTTTTCAAGAGACGCTATATAAATTTTCTATTTGATGTTTTTTTTTAATTAATATATAAAGACCGGAAAATAATGTCGTTTCGGAGCATTAAACATTTAAAAATTGGAGCATTAAGAGTTTAAACAATTACAGAGAAGCTTTAATGAAAAAAGTTATTGGGAATTCCATACACTTTAGTAAATGAATAGATTTTATGTTTTCAAGAAACTCTGTATAACTTTTCTATTAAGTGTTTTTCAAATTAATATATTAGGGAGACTGGAAAGTAATGTCGTTTCGGTGCATAAAGTATTCGTTAGTCTTAAAAACCAATTCATTTTTTTTCGATCCATTTCGATTCATTTTCGATCCGGCATTGAAAGGTTGTTGCTAACGAGGCTGAATAAATTATTGATAAAAAATAAAATCTTGAAAACAAATATTAAATGCTCCGAAACGACATTACTTTCCGGTCTCCCTAATAAAAATATTTTATAAAATTATTTTCCTACTAAGTGTTTTCCAAATTCATATAAAATTGTCGTTAACTGAAACTACATAAAATATCATTACTATTACAACTCTACAGATATCTTTAATTATTAAAATATTTTAAAACTCGTTTTATAGTAACTAAAATAGTAAAATAATATTAAATATCATAACTGATAAACAGTTTCAACTTTCAAAAATGTTTCATTATTTAAAAGTTTAAACAATTGCAGAGAAGCTTTAATGAAAAAAGTTATTGATAATTCCATGCGCTTTGGTAAATGAATAGATTTCACGTTTTCAAGAGACGCTACATAACTTTTCGTTTAAATGTTTTTCAACTTAATATATTAAGGAGACCGGAAAGTATTGTCGTTTCGGCGTATTAAATATTCGTTAGTCTTAAATACCAATTAATTTTTTTCGATCCATTTTGATTCATTTTCGATCCAGTATTGAAAGTTTGTTGCTGACGAGGGTGAATGCATAATTGATTAAAAATAAAATCTTGATAAACATCAAATGCACCAAAACGACATTACTTTCCGGTCCCCCTAATAGAAATATTTTATAAAATTACTTTCCTACTAAGTGTTTTCCAAATTCATATAAAATTGCCTTTAACTTAAACTACATAAAATATCATTACTATTACAACTCTACAGATGCCTTTAATTATTAAACTATTTTAAAACTCGTTTTAAAGTAACTAAAATAGTAAAATAATATTAAATATCATAACTGATAAACAGTTTCAACTTTCAAAAATGTTTCATTATTTAAAAGTTTAAACAATTGCAGAGAAGTTTTAATGAAGGAAACTATTGGGAATTTCATGCACTCTAGTAAATGAGTAGATTCCATATTTTCAAGAAGCGCTTGCACAACTTTCCTACTAAATGTTTTCCAAATTCATATAAAATTATTTTTACAAATATTGGAGAACAAGGGAAATATTCTTATATCTAAGGAGAAGGAAGATTTTCGGATAATTAAAATAGCTCGAATCCACCTACGCTCCTTATGTTTCTTAAAATATGAGATTTAAAGTTTATTCATTGCATTTTGATGCATAAGGGGATTTGAATAACTCAAAAATATTTTTAGGAAATATTAAATTTTAATTTAAAATATTATAAAGTTTGTAAGCATTGCTTCCTTTATCGTTTTTAATACTAGACCACAAAAAAGCAAGATGTTTTTCTGAATCTTTCTTCACTTACAAAATTATAAGAATTAAATAGTTGACTGATTAATTTAATTTTTTATGGTTCGTAAGAAAAACATAAAACATAGTAATTACAGTCATTAACAAATTAAAATAATTACAGTAATGAATATGATTAGTTAATTAAGGTCATTAATCAATTGAATAGTAAACAGCTTGTATGTTCGTTAGAGAAATTTTTCAGACTGATAGTAAAATAATAGTAAAAGTTTAGCTACCTTATCAACACTTAAAAATATAACAACCTTATAATAGGCTTGTAAAACATAATATAGAGAAGTAGGTTTCACATACAGGTATAGGACAAAATAATAGGAACACCTGTGCATAGTGGTACTATGTACAGGCGTACCGATTATTTTGTCCTATACCTGTATATATAATGAAATAGCATTTTGAAACAATATTTTAAAAAAAAACTTAATTAAAGGCCATTTTACTCTAACAAACACAAAGTATAAATACTTTGAGTTTGTTAGAGTAAGTTTTTTAGGGAATTTTTGGAGTGCCTGTGTACGTAGACTTGGATTCAATTACGCTTTGCTATGACTTCGGATAAATCTGTTTAAATTATTTATTAATAGTGGGGAACAAAACTCTTTTATTTTCAATTTATTTAAATATTAATACCTTTTCTACAACCAAGAAAAATATTTTCAATAGAATACCCAAATAGAAATTTCAAAGTAGTTGGATGGTATGNATATGATTAGTTAACTAAGGTCATTAATCAATTGAATAGTAAACAGCTTGCATGTTCGTTGAGAGAAATTCTTCAGACTAATAGTAAAATAAGAGTAAAAGTTTAGTACTCAACACTTAAAAATATAACAAGCCAATAATAGGTTTGATATGTAATAGGTATACATAGGTATACATATATTTGAATTGAATACATTGAATAATAGGTATACATATATTTGAATTTTATGTTCAAGATTATTTTTAATGGTAAAATTTCTTTTTTTGGAGTTTTAAAGATTAAGATTTGTACTTTAACCATTTAATCACCAATGTTCAGATTTTAGAAGAAGTTTATTTTTCAAAATGTTAAATACACAAATCTTTCATTTTTAGCACTCACAGTTTGAGAAGCTCAATATTTCCATCAACCAGAATATAAAATTATTGAATAAAATTATATATCTTGTGAAATATATCCTGGTCTAAAAATCAAGATTTTGCTATGCTTTTCAACGAAATTGATTGTTAATTGAATAAATATCTATATAATTTACATGCAACCCTGCTACAACAATTTTAATAAAGGCACTTGTCCCATTACTGTAAAATAAGAATCTGACACGTAATCGCTTGAATCATTACGGGATTTAATATTGCAAAATGCGTAACTGCAACAAGTATATTGATTACTTTAAAAACGTAAAAATAAGTAAAAAAAAACAAACAAAAAAACTTGTAGAGAAAATATTTCATGCTATTTTTTTTCGCCAAAGAAAGCAAACTAACACGGACTATCACATTTTCTCACCTTATCATACCTGCAAACTCTTCCGGATTTTCCGGAAGATTTTATTTTCATATTTAAAGTGGTTGTAAATATATATTATTTTTTCTTTTATAAACTTAATTTTCAAATGATTTTGATCACCACTATTCTTACAAAAATGAGGCACATATATTAATATGCGTTACTATCATAGTTGTCAACTTAAGTTTTTTCAAATGCAACGTATTTGTTTGCTTAAAATTAAAGTTTTAATTCAATTTTAATACCACTTTGAAAAATGATAATAGAAGGGATTAAAAGTTGGCAGGTATGCCTTATTCAGTACTCATTCCTACCAACTACATATATAATGAAACTATATATATATAATGAAATAGCTATACTACTATATATATAATGAAATAGCAATTAGAAACAATATTTTTTAAAAAAAATATACTTAATTAAAAGCCATTTTTCCCAAACAAACACGGTCAAAGTATTTAGAGAATTTTTGAGTGTTTGCGTACGTAGACTAGGATTCAATTACGCTTTGCTATGACTTCGGATAAATCTGTTTAAATTATTTATTAATAGTGGTGAACAAAACTCTTTTATTTTCAATTTATTCGAATATTAATACCTTTTCTACAACCAAGAAAAATATTTTCATAAACAATTGAAATTTCATAGTAGTTGGATGGTATGAATTTTCATCAAAGTTCCACAAGAAGATATTATTTACAAAAAAAGTATTAAGGTTTTAAAGTTTCAGATTTAGGTCCTTCTTTATGCCCTCAAGAATTAACTTTCTAATTTGTGTTTTAACTCCATGTTAAATCACATAACTTCATTAATAAAAATGCATCGCTAAATTTTCTACTATAGATTAACCGACTTTCTCTTAAGATTTAAACTTAAATGCTCTTACCTCCTGTTACGAAAGCTCCCGGGACTTCGCTTAGCCAAGCCACACATTTGATGGTAACTGCTTTGCTCGGGAGGCTATATGTAGTAATTATTGATGGGCTGTCTGTTGCTGAGTCAATGAGCTGTAACCGTCCATTAGTGTTGCAGATTAATAAGTAATTTTGGGAAAAGGGATCCCATAGAAGCCAAGATATACTACTTGAATCATGCTCTCCTTCGCTTATTAGTTTCACATGTGTTTGTGGTTTCTTACCTAAAATGATTTGAAAGATGGATGAGATAGAATGAAAAAATGAAAAGCTTTGAATGTAAGTAGATGATGTAATTGCAAGAAGGAAGATAGTGCTACAGTAAGTTGGTGATATTTTCTTTTAGGCAAGAAAAGAACTTGACAGTGGTGGTCCTGCTAGTTTCTCCAGCTTTTAAAAGTAGAATTTTACCAGATAATTAAAGTGATGTCAGTCAGTTTTAAGATATTACCTTTTATATGAAATTATTTGTATTATCGCGAAATTTCAATTGCTCACTGCTCTATATTAGCATTCTGATAATCTTACGGCGAAGTTAAGTTTTTGGGCAAAATTTTAAATCCTCTTGTTTTCTTAAATAACATTTCTCTTATATTCTATTGAGTCAAAATGTCTCAACTGTAACAGGAAAAAAGAACAGAAGTTAAACGTTGAGTTTATGATAACGTTGAGTTTACGATAAATTAATTTTACTAAATAGTTGTCATGAGTGAACATCAAATTTTCAGCAAAAATAGTTGGATGAAAATATCTATTACCCATACCTGCCAACTTTTAGTTCTTTCGAGGATAATTTTCCCCAGTGGTAGTAAAATGGAATTTAAATTACAATTTTAGGCAGAAACATTCGTTGCATTTTGAACAAGCTTATGCGGACTACCAAAACAGTATTACATACTATTATATACGATTAATTTTTTTAAAAATAGAGGTGGATCAAAGAGATTATAAATTAAGTTTATAAATGCAAGGAATATATAGAAACCATACATTTTACTACCACTTTAAATATAGAAATAAAATTTTACGCCAAATGCGTAAAAGTTGGCAGGTATGACTACCACTTAATCGGTTTTATTGACACAAACTCTAGGGAAGAATTTCGTCTCGCTATATCGCGGGATCGGAAACGAACGTGTCAAATTATTTTAATTTATTTAATTTAAATATTAATGTATTTCCTTTGCTTCCAGTAAGAAAAATATTTTTAAAACTACGGAAGTTTTGAAGTAGCTGAAGGGTATGGGTTAATCCTTTCCATAGGAGTCTAGCTAATATGGCAACACAAGTATAGCTTTAAAAATTATTTTTTCCAAATAAGGGCAAATTTAAGCATAAGAACTACCCATTGTTTTTACTTTAATAGCTCTACAAATTGTATCCCATAAATATCAAATTATTTTGTTCAGATCAATAGCATGGTTACCGGTGTTTTGAACTAAAATCTTGAAAAAAATTTAAATGTAAAATGAAGGAGGACTAAATGTATTGTTCAATTTTGGTTTTTTAATAGAAGATTTCCTAACATTCTTACCTAAAGCAAGATAAAAATGATACATTTATACTTAGCCATTAGCTTTCAGTTAAAAAAATAGCCAATATTACTGGGATATCTACTACTCCGCTTTCTGCAAACGCATGAAGAGATGCCAATTCGCTCCATTTTGTTAAAAAATACTTTCTAGTGGTAACGAAATTTTCATTTTTAGTTTAGTATTTTTCATTTTAAGAACTAATACACACTAAAAATTCAAATGGTTATATGAAATCATGGGTGAAAGCCCTTATATAGCAAGACGAAAAAGANTAAGTCTGGTATTATTTAATTGCAATTTGATTCTGATTTTGTACGAATGCTTTTCTGAATCACCCGTCCCCAAGGGGTTAAACCAAGATAAAAATAATGAATTTATACTTAAACTTTAGCCTTCAGTTCAAAAATAGCCAATGTTATAGGGATACCCTACTACTCCACTTTCTGGAAAAGCGTGAAGAGATACCAATTTGTTCCATTTTGTTAAAAATTTCTTTCTAGTGGTAACGAAATTTTTATTTTTAGTTTAGTATTTTTCATTTTAAGAACTAATACACACTAAAAATTCAAATTGTTATATGAAATGTAACTTTCTTGCATTGTTTCATTGCATCTCGTGGTAACTTTTATAAGAAGTAGGCGTAACTATCCTTATTCCACAAGTTTTACTATTTAATTCGCTACTAATTTATTAAAACATTTTCAGAAAGCACAGTTGTTGGAATCTGTGCGTGTTTATAAATTGGTAGGGAATAAAAAAGTAAACTTCCAGAATAAGAGACATTTTCACCAACTCTTGAAAAGCCTCACCACAAGATGACTACAACAAAGGTACATTGTATATCTGGCTTTACATGTTAGATACGTTAAGGCAGAAGAATAATTAAAAATCAAATTTAATAAACGGAAAATAACCTAACACTTCGCCTACCTCTAGAAAATATATTTTTAATAATTTTCAGACATATATTTGCTACCACTTTCTTATTTTTACTAGATTTTCTATTAAAACGCTCTTTCGTTTACTGGTTTACCTTCATAGTGGTCTGATCGGACTACCTATGAAAAACCGTGTGGAGGCTTTCAGTTGTTGGAGGTGTTGGTTTAATCATACATGTAATCAATGTTAGTTCAAAGTAAGACTAAATAAATTTTACTTTGAACTAAGTAATGGTGAATTAAATGAATCAAACAATTATAATCCCACCCACAAATAAATTACTAAAGAACTACTATGGTTACCAGTTTTATCTTTTTACTCTGATTGATACGATTTTATGCTGACACGTATTTGTGGCAGTCGCCGAGACAGGGTCAAAGTTCATAAACCTTTCTCACGTAGAAAGACAAATAGCACAATATAGCGATGGGCAGCAGGAAGATACATCCAAGGTAACATCAGGATTCGAACCCGCTATCTCTACACACAGCGTTTAGCGGGCAATACCGCGCGGTCATGGAGGCCCCATTAACCTGCTAGCGCCCAGCGTCATATTTATAGGACAGTTTCCTTTTTCAAAAACATATATTGTGGTAGGACAATTGTTTCAATTTTGTATTTTATCCAGGAGAATTAAAAGTTTCCCTTCTACAGTAATTTATTAGTGATTTAAGTTTCTATTACTAGATGCATAACTATAAGTTGCAGGGACATTTCAAACTGAAATGGTAACAAAGAGTTGATATTAGCCATTTAGTTGAATAACATATTATATCACTTTTTTCATAAAACCACTTTTTGCACCACTTCAATATAAAAAGTCGGGATAGAACGGGTTAATAATATCAGAGATGCCAACTTGCTCCGGACAGCAAATATATATTTTAAATTGGTAGTTTAACAATTTAGATTCTTGGTTTAATAAATTCAATTCAGCAGATTTTTATCCACCACTATTTCTAAACAATTCGTAGGCTTATATAATTCACCACTTTTTTTAGATATGTCATGCTATACCTTTTAAAAAGCAAGCAAAAATAGTCAAATATTTGCAAAATTTATTTTGTAGTTATCTACCGTTTTACTAATTATTTTGGCTTGTCAGGAGCAGTTGGCATCTCTGTAATATATTTGAATCTGAAGTCAAAGTATTGCATTTTTTTCAAAAAGCTTAAGTGGTAAATACGAAGAATAATATCCTCTTGATATGAACAAATATGTGTTACAAAATATTTTTCTTGTAACACATTTTTTTAGTTAAAAAATACTTTTTATTTCTTTTCAAGTCTTAAAATTGTAGCCATCAACTGAAAAAAAAATATCAATTGCAGAAGAACTACTTATATTTATAATATTTCTAAATTTCATTAAAGAATTTCGAAAATGCTTTGCAACAATACATAATTAATTACTTATATTTGATGATTTTCTCCTCATATTCCCCAAGAGAAATGTAAGTCGGTTTTAAAACACTCAAAAAGTAAAACCAAAACATAATAAAAATAAATGCTGCAGAATATCTCAAAATGAAAGTAAAATAAATAGACTATTTTTTTTCACCGAATAGTTTGTTCTTTGAATAAATTTATATTCGTTTTTTTTCTTCAGAAGATGAAATATTCGAGCAATATTTTATTACATTATATGGAATGAAAACAATTTCTTTCCTTCTCGAAGTCTGTGAAGAACTTACTCAAAATATTGGAACAAATTCAAATCAAGTTGAATTGGAGTTTATATATCTTTCCTAAGCAACTAAATTTAGGCATAGTTAGAGAGATATAGTAGGAAGAGATTTATTTGACTTGAGTTCAAAATTCGTTTTGCAGTATTTTGATATTCTATTATCAAATAATCTTTCCATAGCAGCTAACTTTGATGTTGCTTCTCCCAAAAGCTATAATCGAATTTTATATAAAGTTATTAGGTCTAAATGCATATATTTTTTTCGTTTTAATGCATAGTTGCCCATTTTTCGGTTTTAGCCAGAAGAATTTTCTTTGTTTAGGCAAAATTCTTATTTTAACCCTTTCCGGTATAGTGAAGCTAGTCAGGCAACACTTATTCATTAAATGTTACAAGCATGGCTGAAAGCCCTTAGCAAGACGGAAAAGAACAAAAACTGGTACGAAAGACGTTTCATTCTAGCATTTTGTTTCCAGAAAAATAAAATGTTTGTAACTATCAAGATTTCTTTTATAATTTTAGTATATAAATAAAACTGCTTCTCTCCAAGGATAAAGTTACTGACTCATACCCTCCAACTGCTACGGAATTTCCGTAGTTTCAGAAATCTTCTTTTTCAGACGGTAGCAAAATTAATGTCTTAATATTTTAAAAAAATTAATTTTGGCGTAACTTGTCCTTTATTACTTATAAAAGTGCAGGCCATAGGGCTAGATTCTTAAGTTCTGATAAAAGTTTTATGAGAGATCCATTTGCTTTAAAAATTTCTACTTTGGTTCGCTACCACTAGAAAGAATTATTTTCAAAATCCTCATAAGTTGGAGGGTATGNAATCTAAACATAATTTGTATTACATATACATAGGTTGACATGAATAAGTATAAACAGAAATTGATAAATATTAAATTTCTACATTTAGCTGGCACACGTTTAATTAAGATATATATTGAAAGTCTAGAATTTAGAGTTCAATGTTGAATGAAAAATCCGGAAATGAGAAATAAAATGTCACTGAACTAGAGCGGTCTACCCTAGGATCCTTTGCAAAAGACGAATCACTTCTT